AATGAAAACAGGACGATCCTCAATGCCAAGGCAAACGCCTGGGATCCTCCAGGTCTTACCCACTTACTGTTGTGCTTTGCTAGACTTTTTCTTAATGTAATTCCTCTCTGGTTGTGGTCTCTCCCCTGCCCACTGTTCACTGGCAGAAGACCATGTCTGGCTTTCCTTGCCAGCCATACAGGAGCAGGGAAAATGTGAGAGAAGAGCATGGGACACCTTTACTGTTTTTATATTGTGTGGTGTATGTTGGATGCTAGAATGTAGAAAAACAGATCTGCTTGTCAATAAATATATGAGAGAAGATATTATTTCTTTCATCATTCTGGTAGGTGATAAGCCTGCAGCCATTTATCAACTGTCCAGTAGAAATAAATGTCTGTTGTCATTTTCTCACATTTAATAACATTATACTTGTTTGTAATTTTAGCTGTTCATCTGAACTGCAACCTTTTTTTTTTCCTTTTTCAAAGTGAGCATAGAAGAGAAAGGATACTTTAATGAGACTTCCTCCTTTCTTTGACAAGATAACAAAATTACTGTAAAGAACACAAGATTAATTATTTGGATTCAGAAATCCAGAAGACATGCACTTGCTTAAAGTAGAATAAACACCAAGCAGTCTTGCTTGGATTTGCAGTGGCTTTGAAGTTGAGTTTGCTTTTGCAAAACTACCAGCATCATTTTCTCAGCTTGCTATTCCAGAGCTGCAACTACATTTTCCTGTCATCCTCTTGGAGACATCCCCATCCTGTGTGTAACATAAAGGAGATGATGTATGTCCATATTTCCTTTGCTGGTACACTTTTCTCATATCTCTAAACAGCAAGACCTGAAGTTGTTCAGTGCTCCAGCAAGCAAGGCTAGTAAGCAACCTACTGGAAACTTTGCTTAAGTAGAAGAGTGTTTTTACCAAATTTAGTAGACAGTGAATAATACTGTGTCTCCATTGGTACTTCTACCCCCATAGCAAAATAACATCATTCTCTCCTGTACCCACAGTTTCAGCTTTCAATACAACCATGCCTGATTGTACTGCAGGGGTTATCAGCTGCAGAGCTGGAGCTTCTGGTTGTCCGGTGTGGGATAATTGGGAGTTTGAGGCTTCTGTGAAGATGTGGCATAAGATTTGCAGTAGGAAGACAGCTACCTGCTAAAAGTACACAGGCTTATCCCTCTGGAGGTTTATCTAGATGACCAGAAAAGAGATGGTCAGCTGCCACACCAAGGAGAATGGGATGGCTTTTTCCTGTCAGAACTTGATGTGTAGTAAGGAAAGTTGGCACAAAGTAAAAAATCTTATATTAGAGCTTCTTAAAACACAAACCGTGTTTTATATTTGCGTGGAAGATAGATGAGGATCATCTAATATATGTGATCCATCACAACAGAATATATCTAGATTGGGGTAAATTAATGCTATTCCTAATGTGACAGACTTCTCCTGAGGAGGTAAAATCATTTCAGGTCGTTAAATGTTCTCACTTCTCACCAACTGGCCTGGGATTGGCACCGCCCTTCCCTGACATGGTTTCAAAAGCAAACAGCCTCATGAAGTAATGGTTAGGCATACCTGTGGGATCTTGAGTTTTGGCACCTTGTGGCCTCTCTCTAAGTTTCAGGTATTTTACAAGGTGAACTGCTGGACTCCTGCAGCATAGGAGCCCCCAACCCTGTTCCACTGCATGTGTTTTAGCACCCAGTAAAGGTTGCAATTCACAGCAGAGATATTGAATTATTTTTGGACTCCCCTGCCCCACAGGCCAGGCTGAGGAGAGAACCAAAGCATCTGAATTCTTGTTAAAACTTACAGGCCTAAATTCCTGCATGATTGCAATTTCAGTGATTTGGTTACGGTACTCGCATTGGGATGCATCTAGTCAGGATGAATTAATGTATATCATCATCCAAAAACAAAGAAAAACCCAATCATCCTGGTTGTTGGGATCATTGCAGAGACAGGGGAGTGCTGAGTTGGGATACACCTAGATCATCCCAGGGAAAAAAAAAAAAAAGTCCCAGTGGTGTTGTTAAGAATTTTTTTTTTTTGCATAGGAAGTAACAACATAGGTAAAAATGGAATTTTCTGACAATCCCAAATCTACCTAAACATATCCTACATTCCCTGGGGATAATCAGCCCATGAACAACATATACCATATACCATTTTAAAAATTGAGGGTTTTCTGCATTACTTTTTTAAAATGGACCCATCTCCTCCCACTTGTCTTCTCCAGATCTGGCTTTGAAATTATTTACAGTACATTGTGAACTTGTAATCATCTTAGAGATAGTAAAGTATCTCAGCTCTAAAGGGAAGGTGAAATTCCATGACTTTTTGTGATGCAAATATTTTGAAATAGGGAAGACATTCCTTCTTAGCCTTTCAAAGCAGATCATGACATATAATTACAGTAATTTTACTGCAGAGCTACAAATACAAGCATAAGGAAGGCATGTGGGCAGTCCTGCATGGCTAACAAAGGATGAAAAATTTGTAGATTCTCAACTTCCAAACCCAAGATCAGCTGCAGCCCTGGATACAGCAGCAACTGTCAGATAAGTGACAAAAAATGATTTCAAATTATCAATGTCTTCCTAGTGACAGTAGTTCATAATTTTTTTTTTCTTCAGAAGGTTATCTACTGTATAATTACTCACCTTCCACACAGTTAGAAAATTCTTCCCTGCTCTTCATCTGAATCTGCCTGGAACCATCTTTCAGGCACCTTTAGTGAGTAGTCCAAGAGATTCACCCTGGTTTCAGATTTCTGTATGCTTGAGCTACATCTCAGCTTTTTGTCAGTGAGCTGAATAAACTGAGCTGCTTAAGTTTCAAATCATTACTTATTTTCCAGTCTGTGGAGGTACTTGTAACCTTCTTTTGACCTCTCTCCCCTTCTCTGTCTTCATCATTTCTATGGCTTTTCTGTGGTGTGAATGAAAAGCCATAAACGGTCAGAGCAAAGGTGTATTGAGCCTAGTGCCCTGCCTCCCACATCCAACACAGTAGCCTTAATAAAAGTGAAAAGAAGGTGCTGCTTTCTTCCCTGCTACCTGGTTGAGCATTCGAGTGAAGTTCATTGTGCTACATACGTGCTCTTAGCCTGAACTGGGATTGCTTCCCATTTTCTGCTGGACATTCCTGGTTTTATGGATCCAGGGATCACCTTACCATATTTCTTGCCCTTGCAGTGCCTCAGAAGCTCATGTTGACCCACTACCTATGACCCAATGCCTGTGAATTTTTTTGAAAGTCCTCCATGGTGTCACAGACATGTTTTTTGAAAAATCCTTTTGCCAGGATCTTTTCTCCTGAAAAGCTGGGAAACTTCAGCTTCTCGTGTTTTGCTGCTTTGGAATGTGATTTGGAGAATTGTCTACCCAGCATGTCAAATTGTTTTTTACTTGATGACCAATGACAGCCACCTGTGTCAAGGCTGTGAGTAGTCACAAGATTTTATTATCATTCCTCTCCTTTCTATCCTTCAGATGAGTAGTTTCCCTCTATTCTTTTTAGTATAGTTTTAGTATAGCATTTTAATATAATATCATAATATAATAAATCAGCCTTCTGAAACATGGAGTCAAGATTGTCATCTCTTCCCTCATCCTGGGACCCTTGAACACAACCATACCATGGAGCTGCACCTTTCCAATACAGCTCACTTGCAAACAAAACCTGCAGTCTGATGGAGTGAGTACACGTCCTTCAACCTCGCCTGTTGTCCTTGACTCTCAAGTCCTATTCTGGAAAGCCACCATGTGGCTTTCCATCCTGAACTAGGATGTCAGGTTTTTTTCCAGAAAGAAACATTCTGCACTCCTATCTTCCAAGTTAAAAAGTGCAGAAGATGAGATATTAATATTTGACTTCAGACCACTTCCAAGCTTACCTGCTTTTCACCTTCCATTTCGAGAGTAAGCCTTGCTTGATTTCCAGAGATTTTATGCAGTGTACTCTAGCCTACTGTAACATGCTTGCAGGAATGTGACCTGAAAGCTTTTAATGCTAGAGGAGTTCTAAAAAGTGTGAGAGCTACTTATAGTAAATAAAATATAATTAAATATTGAGTTGTCTCCTGGGGTTTTTGAGACCATCTGCAGAGAAGGCCTAAAATGTAAACCCAGCATTGACTGTCTGTAAAAGAAAACTGAGATTTCCTTATAATACTATGATCACTCTGAGTGTTGGAGCATTAAAAGTTACAACAGCATTACAGAGGAAGGAATGAGCCGGCAGTACTGCACACACATTTAATTCCTAGGACTTCTAAATGAACATAAGAGAAATCACATACAGATCTGCAGTTGTGCAGGTGTTTTCATACCACCACCCATTCCGCTTTGCACAAACAGTTACCCTCTCCTTGCAGCTCCCTGCCCCATACCTGCTCTCCATGCATTCTCACCCCTGCATCCTGTGAGTGCTCTTTAGCATCACAGGCACAGGCAGGCACGTTCCAGTTTCCTTTACCCACATGCAAGACCTATGCCCTCACCCACACCTATGTATTCCAGTCAGTGCATACACACCAGACCCTGCACTTGCACATGGCATAAGTTAGAATTCTGTCCTGGAGACAGGGCAAGACACGGAGGGTCCCTGTTTTCCTGGCATTCAAGGTGTCTGAGTCCTTTTGAGGGGGAACTTCAGCAAAATACCTTTTGCAGCTTGCTGGGGTTTAGGAGCCACCAGTGAGGTGAGTATAGATCTGAGCTGCTCTTTCCCAAACTGAGTGGTTGTGATGGATTATATTTATACCTCCACTGTTCCAGCCTTTCACAAACCATCCCACACATCTCTTATATTAGAAGACTTCAACCTAATATTTTTTGAGATGGGCATATGGGACCATGATTATATCATCTTTATTTGTTTTTCTCCATTCACTCTCACTCCTCCATTCTTCTCTCTCCCTGTCATTATCATTTAAATATCCACTAAAATATTACACAGTGGTTTTTACTCCTTACTGTCTTTTTTCCCCCCTTGTTGGCAGATGCTTACCCCAATTCTGAAGTGATCTATGTGTGGACTAACAGCACCACAACATCTGTGGTGGTGGCTGAAGATGGCTCACGACTTAACCAGTACCACCTGATGGGACAAACCGTGGGCACGGAAAACATCAGTACCAGTACAGGTAGGGGGAATATTTCCATCCCACGGTTGCTGATGGCTGGAGCAGGACGGGAGACTCACAGGCTCTGGTTACTTTGCAGTAAGGCTAGGGAAGCATCTGTGGGATGTGGAGTGCTAGGGAGATCCTGTGCAGGTTCATGGCCACTTAGCAGGGGCATTTAAACACTGAGAGGGTTAAATGCTGGCTCTTAGGTACATTGCTGAAGATACATCCAGGCTCCTGGTATTTACAGGAGTGCCTGAGAAGCCTCACGCAGTTCCTTGGCGATTGCCCTCGCTGTGGCTGCCAGCGCTGTTGCTGGCTTATTTCCCCGTGGGAGGAACCACCCTGGGAGGCAAACACCACCCACGCATTTGATCCGTTTCAATCATCGCTTTAAAATGATTGCTTGATGGAACCCTGGGGGGCAGGGTGGGGGAGGCTGTGGCGTGGCACGGCTCTGCGGCGTGTCCGGGGCACCACGTGGCCGGAGAGGAGGTGCAAACCCCGAGGATCCCCATTCCCTCTCGGGCTGGAAGCGGAGGCGCCAGATGTGGCAGCATTAGGGAGGCAAAGAAGCTTTAATCCCAGGCCGGGCATCCACGTGAGCCGTGCCCCCCTGCTGCTTAAGGCTCCCATGCAAGGGCAGCCCTGGGTGTGCATTGGTGGGGGGGACCCCCGGGGGGTCGAGGCCGGGACAAGGGATCACGTGCGCTCAGAGGGACCGGGGCTTCACCAGTTTACACAATGCACTCGGCTGGAGAGCATCAGTGGCATCCAGCCAAGGGAGGGGGAAGTGGTGGAAATTAAATAGCCTGCCGGGAAGAAAAGGGGGATTTCCACTGCTAGTGGTTGCAAGGGGCTTGGGTTGGGGAAAGGGGCAGCCTGTGGCAACGTGCCTGGGAGCAATTCCTGCAGGCAAAGCCCAACAGATACACCGTGTCCCTGCCGCAAAATGATGGTCAGAGTTGTAGACTACAACATATAGATTAAATTAGGAACCTTTTATCATCTGTAGGAAATTTAAGAGACATGAAAACAGGTACATACATGTACACTTGCACACAAAGTTAGTTGGACTGAAACTTAAAGACGCATAAAATGTTGTGCTCCAACTGGCAAATAAAGAGGGGACATCTGAGCTTGCTGCTTGTGCTCCAGCAAGGACACAGTGAGGGAAGGCTTGCCTTGGGCAGCCACTGAATTTGACAGCCATCTTCATCCTATAGACATTCACCCCCTCCCTTGCCCATTTCAGGAGACACAAAGCTGATGCTAAAGCGAAGATTCATAAAGTCAAGAGAAACATATAAACAGAGTGGTCACTTTTGCAGAAAAAAAATGAGTACAGTATATAAAAGAATAAAGACACTTTTCCTTACCAGTTCACCATCATAGCCGCGTTGTTTTCTGCAATGAATGGCAGCTCCCCTCTCGCCTTCATTGTTGCCAAGAAAAAGATCCAAAGGATGTACTGGAACATCTCCTACAACCTCGTCCTGCTCCTTAGAGCAAGAAAACCATGCAGCCCAGGCAGTGAGTGCTCCAGCGTGTCAGCTCCAGGCCACTTCCAGTTTGCCGCTTTGCCTGTGAAAGCTCCTTGTACTCCTCAGCCCAAGGAAACACTCCAGACAAATCCTAAAGTTTCCGCACAGTAAACACCTCCCTCACGTATTTAAGATTTATAATAAATGCTGTGTTTCCAACGTCAAGATTTTGTATTAATGTCCTGGCTTACATCTGAATCCATCCTGGCTGGATTCTGATTGCAGGGTGGATCACACAGAGCAGGACACAGATTGTAACCGGGGATTAGCAAAATACAGAAATCCGATTTTGCACAGGGAAGGCATCAGTCAACGATGGATTTTCTGGAGTTCATCAAGCTCGTAGGAGGCCAGTAATCGGCATTACTTACGAATGGCCATCGAAGGCATTTCTTCCTTCTATTGAATTGTTAACGTGAAAAAGAAAAACCAAATAGCTATTGCATAATCCAAGTGCTTGGATCTTTTGTGGCTTTTATGACACACAAGTCAAACTACCCAGCCCTTGCAGTTGCATAGACAAAATGTTTGTGTATGTCATAGGTCATTTATGCCCTTCTTTCTAGCAGACTTTTTTTAAAATGGAAATTCCAGACCTCTACTGGTTCCTTGGGATTCTGCAGATTTGTAGGCAAGCTGCCTTTTGGCTGCCTTCTCAGAAAAAAATACCCTGGCATTCCTAATTCTACAACCAATCTTGAAACTTGGAACATTTTAGCCATGGCACAGAAAACAGCTGTCATGTGCCACCTGGTTTTTGGTTTTTTTTTTTTCTTTTGGCTGTTTGTTTTTTGGTTTATTGAGGGTTTTTTGTGCTAACATCCCCAAATGTTATTCACCTGAAAGAAAGACATTTTCCTACTCACTCTGCTTCTAACAGAACCAACATCTGTTATGTCCTGGTGGTAAAAGTGCTGAAAACCATCAGATATGAGATTTCAGTCCAAGTGGATCTTGCTGCTTTCCACAAATGTTTGCCCAGTTATGTTCCCCATACCCAGAATCTCTCATAGCTAACTTAGGATCTGCAGTGGCACAAAACAAAACATAAACCCACTCTTTTGTATACTGCCAGCTGGAGCCTGAGCTCTGCAATATCCAAAGCTGAAATAATAAAAGAATCATTCAGCTCTTCATTTTGAACCAAATAATTCTTGTTTTTTTTCTTGAGATGAATATTTCTTTAGTATCACTATAAAAGGGAACATGCATTTTTTATGGGCCAAAATATTCTGGATGTCAGCATAGTCAGGGAGGTGTCTAATGTATCTAATGTCACAATCTTGCCAGAACAGTCATTGATAGAACTGAGTCCAGGTATATCCAGTAAACAAAGCCTGGGGGCTGGCCTACCCTCCCTAAAGTATCAATTGAATCTCAGCATAATGGCAATGGAATAATGTGTGTAAGATCCTGAAAAATCTGTAAGTGTGATCTCCAGAACTCCATCAACTATGCACCAAAAAAAAAAAAAAAAAAAAAAAAAAAAAAAAAAAAAAAGACTGTAGCAGATTTTAAAGCATAAAAAAACCCTTAAGAGCAGCAGCACAGTTGCACAGCTCCACGAAGTGCAGCCATTTCTGCTCTAGGGCTTTTCATTAGTACTAGATTTGTTTTTGTTTACTAACAATAATTTGTTTTCTGCAGTGATGAGTGGACCCCATCAGGAACAGGATTCTCTTTTAAGTGCTGCATAAACCTATAACAAAAATTAGCTCTTGCTCAAGAAAGCTTATGGTCTAAGGATAAACAGTGGCCTTACAGTTGTAAAAGGGAGCTTTGCTGCTCCAACAGAGCCAGTATCTTGTTCTATAAACAAAAGGCCAACTCAGGCAGCTTTTAGATTTACTTTAAGCAGCAGTCCCAGGGCATTAAAAACCAAGCTGTGGGGTTTTCTTAAGCCCTAAGTCTACTGGAGGAAGTATTCCCGGTATAGACATCTCTGAAGGGGACAGCATGGGAAATCAAAGAATTTATCAGCTGGGAGGAAAGCAAGTACAAAATCAAGATGCTGTGATTATTTCAGTAGAGACAAGAGTTTTGATAGGTTAAAGAAAATGGTAAGGTAAAAATGAGCTGTGGAGGGCCATCAGAATGAAGGCACTGATTTTCTGTATTTTAAAAACGAAAAAAAGAGGGTCCTGTTGCTCTTCCGAATCTGTGTAGATTCTTTTTTTATTCCAGCTCTGAGAGCATACTGTCAAAATCGATAATGCACATTGTCACTCTGTAGTGAGCAAGCAGGGAAACTGTGACTCAAACACATCCCAGTGCAGTAGCAACTGAGAAGCAGTCTCTCTGCCTGAGATTACTGAGGCAGGCAGACCCTGCTGCAAATACTCCTTAATAAAGAGCAAGTGGGCTTCCTCCTGAGACCATTGCATGTTCAGCCTCCCTGGTTCAAAATTACACTAAATGGAAGAGAATTAGGCTTTTATTTGCAGGGGTTTCCTCCCCAGTTTCACAGCATTCCATGTCCATTTCCACATCACTCCTCAGGGAACCGTTTCACCAGAAAATCAGACTCCAGAGAAAGACATAAAGATTGAGACAGGATGTCAGTTAGGCATCTCTGTGTTATTTCACTTTCTGTCTAAAATCCTCAGCATGAACTAGGTCTGTAAACTTGATGCAGAATAGCAGAGCTCCTGTAGCATAGTGTATGTGTGCAGCTATACCTGCAAAAACCCTTCCACTGTAAACCTGTTCTCTGCTAATTAGCTATATTGTCAGTTAGAAGTAATCTGCCAAATCTAATAGCTTAGGTAATGCTGGCAACAGCTCAACTCAGGCTATTCACTCAAGGCAGAATCAGTCTGTTGGATATTTTCCTTCTGTGGATGTTTTGTAGAAACTAACAGTCAAATCTTGCAACAGAGATTATAGCTGTAATTGTTCTTGAAGGACAATATATATTTCAAAACAGGCATTTCTCTGATTCATCAGTACCCAGCTGAATGATACGTGCTTTTAAATTTTTTTTATATCAGTGAAGAACTTTTAAGGCTTGAAGGGACGGGTTGCTTTTTATTCTTACATTTTGTTTTTACTGTTATTATTCCGAGGTAAATAGTGGCATGCTTTTGCTAGCAAGATTTTGTATTTGGAGAGCAGTTACCATCATGAATAACCTTCAGTAATAAAAACTACATGGTTTTCCAGAAATACTCTGAAAGAACCAGGAATAGCCCTCAGTAACAACTATATGGTTTTCCAGGAACAATCTGAAAGAACTGGTTAAGGTTTGAATTTTTCGGAAACATTAGGGAAGGTAACAGCTGGTCTGTTGATTTTTGAGTGCATTTATTTAGGCTTTTATTGAAATTCAGAGAAGCTGATAAATGACATATTAAGGCAATGCTGTGAATTTGGCATATGAAAAAGAAATGGAATTTAGCACTGCTGTGGCAGCTTTTAGGGAACTCTGCATGAAGGCAGTACAATATTCATTGCACAGGTGAACAAGACAGGACACAATATCTATGCAGAAACAGATAATCTTTTGTAGGGCTGAAGTGTACCAAATTCTAGGAACACTTCATGCATTAGAGGGACTTTTTATTTCTGGACCAGCAATCTGAAGGATTTGGGTACTCAGATTAATAAGACATCCCAGGATCCACATGCAAAGTGGCAGTTCTCACAGAAGATGCTGGGACTGGCTATCCCTAAAATGTGGTGCAGAAGGAGTGTCTGGACCCATTTTCATAATTGAAAACTGATGGCTTGGCCACAACACTTTAGCTAATGAGGTTGCTAAACCTGCTGCTAAATCAGGTTTCGGAGAGTTGAGGGCCTTAATTGTTACTATGCTACAAGGGTTTATAGGACTGGGTCGAAACCAGACAGTGTTGGCAGTGCCAGCAAACCAGATTTTTAAGCCTGTGAACATCACAACATTCCAAGTGCATAGGAGGACTGCAGCTTTTCAGTGTAGTAGGAAACAGCAGTCATTGTCTTCTGCTTTGGAGACTGAATGTGAAGACTGTGAGGATCTAGCAGCACCTCTGTCTCAAGTCTTGGTTTCCCACAGCGCAGAAATCCAGACATTTTTAATGAATTTAAGAATGGCTGAGGGATATCCTGAAATGGAGGGTTGGAACTGACCTCGTTCAGTCCCCAAATTAGTAAGCCTTCCTTATTTTACTCAAATGCACATTTTTCTTCTTCTAGGTGAATATACCATTATGACAGCCCATTTTCATCTAAAAAGAAAAATTGGTTATTTTGTCATCCAAACGTACCTTCCTTGCATTATGACTGTGATCTTATCGCAAGTGTCGTTTTGGCTAAACAGAGAATCTGTCCCTGCTAGAACTGTCTTTGGTGAGTATCCCACTTTCTCCTAGGACACAGACAGCATCTTTGTGGCTTGTGAAAGTGATTTGTTGTAATAAAACCTCAGTTCACTACTGTTTATTTCTGCTTCAGATGTTGTAAACGTTTTCTCATTCTCTTCCAGTTTAAACCCAAAATCAATTTAAAGCCTTGTCTGGGTTGTTTTTGTAAAGTTATGACAGAAATTGGTTAATCAATTATGTGAAAATTAAGGACAGAAGATAGAAGAACCAGATTAGTGTGATTTGTGTTTGGTTTGTGTGATTTGTGTTTGGTTTGTTTTAATTTCGGTGGATGCTGGATGGTTTAGAAAAAAAGACATACAGATTATCACATATAATGTATACTCTTGCTAAGCATTTGAAGCAGATATCACTTCAAGACATTTTGTTTATCTTTGTTGTAGGATTTTTATCTGGGAAAACCATGTAGATGTTAATTAGTGACAATTATCTCTATTACCATCAAACAAATTAATATGACTTTGCATTTAGAAAATGTATATTTACTGAAGAAATTGCTATGGAAAAAACCTTTGGGGTGTCATTAAATTACTTGGTTTATTCCTAGAAGGCTGCAGAAAATAAGCACTTTCTCAAATGAAGGGTGATGAAATACAAGATTTTTACTAGGTGAAAAACAAGGGGAGTGGAAACAGATTATTAAGTAAAACTTTGTTCAGATATTTGAAAGGAGTCTGTACCAGCCTCCTGAAGTCAGTTGGCAGCTTTGTTCAAAAATCAGCTCAGCAAGTTGTATGGAGAGAATACAGGTAGTAACATCACTTTGCTGAATTACTCTAGGTTTACAAAGATGTACCTGAGAGTTGAGTTTTTTGATCTTTGGGTAATCTTCCCACAGATGAAAGCGTTGGCTGTTTGTCATTTACTATCATATGGGAAAGGAGGAGCTACAGTCAAGGAAAGCAGTAACAGTCAACAATTTTAAACATGCAATCTCTGTATAAGAAAACAAAATAAGTAATCCCACTTCATTCTGACAGTTATAAACCCTGGGCTTGTGTTACCCTAAAAATCTTTATTTAAACACACTATGGCTAGAACTAACCAGAATTCCATAGAACAAAACATCTGAGGGTGAAGGCTTTCATTTTTTCTTATTCTTTCAAACCATAATATGCAAACACTGATTTCATGTAGCCTTCTTAGATATCCTGCTGAACTAGGACCTGCTCGTAACTCATCTGGGATCCCGTAAGTGTTAGCAAACTGATCTCTGACTCTCAGGTTTTTTTTTCTTTGCAGGAGTAACAACAGTCCTCACCATGACCACCTTAAGTATCAGTGCCCGTAACTCTTTGCCAAAAGTGGCCTACGCTACTGCAATGGACTGGTTTATAGCTGTTTGCTATGCCTTTGTATTTTCGGCATTGATTGAATTTGCAACAGTCAACTATTTCACCAAGAGGAGTTGGGCATGGGATGGCAAAAAAGCCCAGGAAGCTGCAAAAATCAAGGTGCTTAACTTACATTTTTTTAAATACCTAGAATTAAAAGCAGTTATTCAGTATAGTTTAAATAACTGAACGGTCAATTTTCAGCTTCTTTGTCAAAAATATATTTAATTACCTCATGACATACATCCACCTTCCTGTAGAGGAAAATTTGTAAGGAAATATGGTGCCTTCCCTTCACAGAGATAGACTACCTCTCATCTCTATGAAGAGGACTGGTTATAGAAGCATGTTGGGCATTGAGTACACAGGACATGGGATTTCAGTGATCAGACTTCTGATAACAGCGGACATACACCATGAAACATATCTCTGCAGAGCAGTCCCTGTATGCTCTCCTAAATCAATAACAACACTCACATTGAGCTCCATGAGCCGGGGTTCCACCACAGTAAAAAAAGGAACAAAAGTTGTGAAAACACAACTTTTGAGTTTCATGCTGAAATGAAAATTTTGGGATAGGACTGACTCTTAGTAAATCATCTCCTAGAGAGCTCATACCCACAGGCATCCCAAAAGAGCCTACAAAGAGGCCAAGCTGGCAGGGGCAGTGAGCCCTTCCCCACACCCTTTGCAGCAGCTGGGAAAATGACCTTCACATGTTGTCAGCTGTCCATGGGGCAGCACCCTTTTCAGATGCCAGACTACATCTCACTGACAAAAGAAGCTGCCAATGCACATGCCAGGTGGGATGTGGCTGCAGCCAGTGAGTCTCAGCTTTCTCCCATCAGGGAAAGTCACACTTAAGAGCTACAAAATCAAGCCAAAAACATCTGTTTGATAGTTGAAGTCAGAATAGCCAGCAGGCATTAGCGGGCATGCTTGATTATGGTGCTCAGTTTTTTGGGTCAGCCCCTTGAGAACGTTTCCCCTTTCTGCTCTTGTGGTATAACATTTTGTTCTTTATGCTGCAGAAAAAAGAGCGCAACTTGCTGGGAAATAAACCAACTAATACCTACAGCACCGGGAAGATGACTCCTGCACCAAACATGCCAAAGGACTCAGCCCCAGCTGTCATCTCAAACACTACAACTGCTCCAGTGAAGCCTGCAGAAGAAAAGCCTGCTGAAAGCAAAAAGACTTACAACAGCATCAGTAAGATTGACAAAATGTCCCGGATAATTTTTCCAGTGCTGTTTGGAACTTTTAACTTAGTTTACTGGGCCACATATTTGAATAGGGAGCCTGTTATTAAAGGTGCCAATTCTCCAAAATAAACTGAAGTACTCTGGAGCCACATGTGAGCCATACTTACAAAGCAGATGCTACCAAGGAAAATTTGAGATCCAGATGACTTTCTACGTTTGGGCAATATTCTTCAGGAAGTTTTTTGCATGTTTAATAATATGTACAAATAATATTGCCTTGATTGTTTCTACATGTAACCTCAGATGTTTTGGAGACGATTATATTACTTACAGCAACGGATCTTTATAAAAGATCAGAAGACATTGAACATGGCTTCTTTGCTGCTGAGTATCTTGCATTGATAGTTTACAAATAAAATAAGTTATATTTTTTAACTGTTCAAGTGTACTACATATCGTGGTTTTTATACTTCAGATGTACAGTCATACAAATATGGGCTTAACCTATATTTTACAGAAGAGCTCCACTATTGTCATCTGATAAGTTACTGAGTAACGCCAGTTGTAAATGTGCCAAATTATTAAGTGTAGGGCTATGTTTGAGCACCTTTACCAGTTACAGGTAGTGCATTACTCCATAGACAAAACTGCTCAGCCCAATTTTCATTGGAAGTTTAATATAATGCAGTAAATCCTAATGGGACTATGATAGTTTTCACTGCTTGAGACTAGTTTGCAGTGAAATAACACAGGGAGCAGGATGCTACTTATGTAAATAAAGATGGTGGAATCTTGCCCTTAAATGAAAATACAAAGTTTGTTTGGGTTTTGCATTCCAAAGAATTCTCTCTAATGATTCTCAGTATTTATTCCAAAAATTAAGAATTATATTGCATGAAATTAACATAGATTAGGAATATATTTGTGCAAATAAAACTTCTAACAACAGCACTAGACATTTTTATCAGGGTAAAGTAAATTATGTTTGGACATTTTTCCAAGAAGAAGACTGTGTTTTATTAGCAGAGATTATCAGAAAATAATTACAGTAATTCTGCAATAATTATTACTTGTTTCCCTCTGCAAAAATCAATCAGCTAACACTAGAAAGTGTGATCAGATAAAAAGATGTGCTTCATGACAGCAAGGTGTTTCAGTGACAATATTGACAGAAAGGTCTTTGTAGTGTCCATCTGAAACTTTTCTATAAAACGCCTTGCTGCTGACAATGTGTTTTGCTTTCACAATGAATGAGAAAATGCAGTCTGAGTTTTCAGCTCTTTCCTCCTTGGCATCCTTTAATTGTTCCAGAAGCTTTTGTAATTAAATCTTAATGTTTAAATAAAAAATGCATTCAACATTTGATTGCAAAATGTCATTCTTATACTGGCTGTCCTTTTAGAAAGACCAAAGAGCACACCACAGAAGCTGAAGGAAGGCACACATGCACACACTCGATCTCGTGTGCATGCATGACATATCCTCCCTGTTGCCCAGAAAGGGGCATGCCTTGAGTGAACACAGTGAATCGAGTTGTTGCAGAATTAGGTGCTGTCCTGCTGTGAAGAAACAATCCCATGATCTTTTGGGGACAGAGGGAGAGTTCATGCTTCGCTTTGAAGTGAGGGTCTGGTCTGGGTTGTTTTGTGTCTTCTCTTCAACACTTTCATTCCTAAAAATTGCCATGAAAAAATCTCAAATGTCTATTGTTTTTTGAAGCTTTTGTTTGATGCTGTGGAAAGAGAAATTCATAAACTCTGGAGGGCAATAGAGAAGCCATGGGACTGAGCAAGTGACTGGATGCTGATAAACATCAGCAAGGGAGGGGGCACACCCATCTATTCAGTACTAGCCTGAGCTGAGATGAGGATGTGGATCTCTGTTTTCATGTTGCCTGCCTCTGTGTCTTTGAGCAGCCACACACCTCCTTGTTCATCATCCCCTTGGATGATCATCACCCCCTTTGGGGTTCAAAAACCTTTAAAAATTGCAGTGCTTATTGCACGGCAAAACTTTATAAATAAAGTTCCTTGGCTATTTCTTCAGGTGAGAAACCCAAAGAATTACATGACTGAGTTTTGTGAATGAGAAATTCAGAGCCATCTTTGAGTAGCATCTTCTCCAGGCCAGTTCTGGAGTCTCCCCAGAGAGTTTCTGTACTTTGTTTTATCTGCTTACAACCAAGTCTGATCTTACTCTGTATTACAGCATTATTTCCTGGTCTCTATTGCAGGACTCAGTGAAAGGATCTCTAAATCTGATCTATTTTACTTACATGGAAAGTAATCTTCAACAAAGATGGGTTGTACCTGCAGCATGTGCTTGTGCATGAACTCTAGGTGTCCCACAGTCTGGAACATGCTTCAATAAACCCATACCCTCCAGGCTGGAATACTTAAATGCTATTGCCTCGCATTATATCCTACCTCACAATTCAAATCGCTCCACAGTCAGTGGAACTATTTGTGTAGGAGACCACTACTCATTGAGATGGTATCTGAACTGTGGGAGACAGGAGCATTTTCCAGGTCCTGGCTCAACCAAAACACTTTGGCTTTGTCCTGCCTCAGGCTGGGGTGGTATCTGTATGTGCATCAGCTTCCTCTGGTATCCTCTGGAAGCAGCTTGGGCTTTCAGGAATGGAGTGAGCTGTGTCACTGTCCCCACCATGGGTGAACTAGGACCCTGCAGGACACAGCTACTTCACAGCTTAGTCATGGCCAAAGGAGTAATAAATAGGAATTGCTTCTCATTGATTTTTTCATGTATGCTTTCATGAAAAAAGAGTTGAGAAGTGAATTACAACAATTCAGCACTATAGAGGAAGTGTGTGCAGGCTGCTGAAAAATTTCCTTCCTTGCACCCAGTAAGAATGAAAGAACAAGTCAAATACAATGGAAGAGATTTTTAATTTCTGATATTTGAGCTGTGCCAGCTTACTTCAAGGATGAATTTAAGCAACAATGTCTTTTCTAAAGCTGAACCCTCTTAGGTTGTCTTGAGTTGTGTTCTGCTCTTTTCTAAATGGAATATGCCCTCTGTGGAATAACTGAACACATTTATACAAAACTGAGGAAGTAATGATTTTATGAAATAATCTCTTCTTTCAAAAATTCTTGCTCAACATCTAAGTTAAACTTTGAAGAAAAATGAATGAAACTGTTTTGCTCTTCATTTTATGCAGAGAAGATGAATGTAGCACTCGCAGTTTTTTGAAATCTGGAGATAAAGTTCTTTGTAATAAGGATATATTTCCCTAAATACCCTTGCTTCTCAAGGAATTGACACTGAAATGATAAAATTGCTTGAATCCTTTCTAACCTTTTAGAGGTTTTTATGTCACTACAAATACTTAAGTATGGTCATTGCATGGTGACTCTCAGATGACATCCTTACTTTACCAACTTTGCATCTTCCACTATGTTGTTATAGACATTTGTTCAATTTTGAGAAGATAGAAAGATTGGAAGTTAGATTTTATGAAGCCCAAAGGACTTCTGAAGGATCTTCCAAGGATTACCCCTAATTTACACTGAAATATAAGTGTCCCATTCTGTAATGCATTATTTCCTTTTCAGTGCCATCCTCAAAAGCAATTATCACTTCTCACAGGCATAATGTCTTAAAAGTTGCTGCTTAAATTAGTCCCTGGCTAAAAGCAAAGTAAAAAGCAAGAATATTGATTGAAGATACCAACTAATTTCAGTTAGATGAATTTGGAGAGTTTTGGAGAAATATTGATAGATTGCAATGGACTGGATGAAAAATGATAGGCTGGATTTGTAGGTAGGAAAATTGCTACAGAGAGGGCAACCACCCACTGCAACTTAACACATAAATGATAATAAATGTTGGAGCCAGCCACCCAAGGCAGTTTTGGCCTCAGAGGATATGGGCCCAGTTCTTCATTCACTGGGGGCTGGTGTTTTTGATGTTCTCAGGACAACTGCTCAAGGGTGGCCTGGCCCCAGAGGAGCAGGCCTGCCTGCCCTGGATGCCCATGCTTCTGCCAGAAGTCTACACAAAGCTGCTGAAAAGCTGCAGCATGGCAGCATCAGGAGGGATTCTCCCTATCCTGCCCATGAGCCAGAGAGCAGAGAGCCCTGTGCTGAAGGACAGAACTGAGAGCACACAGAAACTGTCAGGACCTCTGATGTTCAACTTCCTACCTAAAGGCTCCAGCAGGAACAACAGAGACCTTCAGTCAGAATAAACTGGTTCAAGCCTCTTAGAAATCTCTAATATGCCTTCAGCTGGAGCACTCCAGGAGCTGTAGAATACGGATTTCAGGTCCTTCCTTCTTTGTCTCAGAGCAGCCCCAATTCCCTTCTGTGCTTCTCATGGTATATAGGTAGCACTGGGATGCCAGGAAAACCACCAGTAGAGCTCTTCTTCAACACTGCATCTCAGAAAATTCAGGTGCCCAAACTGTTCAGCACTTGAGATGGGGCTCCCAGTTCTAGCAAGTGAGGAATTTGATCCATGAGTCCCATTCCCTTCTTTGACATTCACCCCCCCCCCCCCCCCCCCCCGCTTATTTATGCTATTCCCTGCACAGCTACTTTCAGAGATTCAGATTCATACTTCCCCACTGCACAGGACATACCACAGAGGTATCCCTCGGGTTGAAAAGATACCTTCTGTGAAAGTGCAATGAAAGGTAAGTTAAAATGTGGATGCGTTTTGTTGTGCTGGACAGTATTACTGAGAACATAAACATTTTATCATTACATGTCATGATGTAATGTTCTTTTGTTAAAACCTGTGCTGGATAATCATGACCCTTACCTGAATATACAACTTGAAAGGCTCAGCAAAGGGAGAGTGTGTGCTTACAAGTAAAATAGAAGGATGTGAGTATGAAGAGGAGGAGCAGAAATGAACAAGGTCTGAGGTGTAATGAAGAGTGGTGCTAAAGTATCCCTTCAGCATTAACACACCAAGGAAAACAGTAAGAAAACCTTAAGCAGCACGTTTTTTCTTACAGCCTGAGGAGAAGGAGTCAATAATCAATGAACCATATTGCCCCGATCGAGCCTTGGGGATTTCTGACACTCTGCAAGGAAAGCGGGGACACTGTGAGGGTCTTTCTCAGGTCTGAGTGACTCGATGGTCACATAAAGTTCCGGTCACGGCGCAGGGGTAACCGAGCGCTCTGCCGCCGGCTGGAGGCAGCGCGGGGCGGGGAACCCGGCCCGATCCCTCGCGCTTCCCGCCGCGGCCGCCAGAGGATCCCGCCACCGCGGCAGGATGCGCTGAGGGCGGGATGGGGGCTGCCGGGCGAGGAAGAGGCGGAGCGGCGCCCGACGGAGCCGCCGCGGCGGGGAAGCCACCCCGGCTCCCTCCCATCCC